CTACCTTTCCCCTCCTTCCCTCCTCTGCCTTAAAAATCCATCAGGATTTAATATGGGGGCTCCACCCTAATGGCCTTATCTAATCCTAATCACTTCCCAAAGGCTCCACCTCTAAACACCAAAGTGGATAAAGTTCCATACTCTTAATACTATTAATATGTGACATCAGGGATTAAACTTCTGTATGAGTTGATGGGGAGGGGGACAAATCATTTTCAGATCATGGCACAGTCTCAGCAGAGGGTGACTGATGGGGTTGGAAAAAAAAATTGCTGTACTCAGAACAACAAAAGACAGTGGGTGGAGATGTAACATGAAGGCCTGGGAAAATACTCGTGGAAAGGGGCCTAGAGAGGTACGTCAAACATTTGGGGTATTTTTGTTTCTGTTTTTTGTTTTGTTTTGTTTGTACCAAGGATTCAACTCAGAGGCACTCTACCACTGAGCTGTATCCCCAGCCCTTTTTAAATTTTGAGACAGGGTCTTGCTAAGCTGCTGAGGGTCTTGCTAAATTGCCGAGGCTGGCCTCAAACTTGAGATCCTTCTGCATTCACCTCTGAAGTTGCTGGGATTACAGGCATGTGCCACTGTGCCTGGCTGTCCCCAGCCATTTTTATTTTTTTATTTTGAAACAAGGTTTTGTTAAATTGGTGAGTTTGGTCTTAAACTTGTGATCCTCCTGCCTCAGTCTTCCGAGTCACTGAGAATACAAGTGTGCACCATTGCACCTGGCACATCTAGTGTTTTAAGCACATTGGTGATGTAAATTTCTAAAATAAATTAATTCTGAGATCATATCAGCATTTATTAATTTACTAGCTAGGGAAACAACAGCAAGATTAAAAGGATGAGATGTTCTGAGAAAACATGGAGGTTGAGAAATTATCTAGGAAGAAAAGCAAGTTTGGGGTTGGTGGGTAAGGGTTGCATTACTGTCAGGTTCTTTGTAGTTATTTGCTGACCTGACTTGGACTTTCCTTCTGGTTAGCATCTTGCTCTGTGCTCCGTGGTGATCCAGATCTCTATTAATACAGGCAGGTCCTCCTTGATGTTTATGGTCCATACTCATCTCTCTCCAACCTGCCTCCACAGGTCTTGGGATCATGAGTCAAAACTAGACTAATTGGGACTAATTCCAGTTAATTCCTTTGGAAATGTAGGAGTTGAGAACTGGCAAGACCCTTGGAAATCATGCAACACAACATTATCTTTACAGATAGGAAAACTGAGGTTCAGGAAAGGAAGCTTGCTTTTCTTCCTGATTCTAACTCCATTCCTCACCATAAACGTTCACAAGGGATATCTGACGATGAAGATAACATTTAGGATTACCTATAATTATCTTCCCTCGCCAGTGTGGAGTAGTGGGAAGAATGCTTTTAAAAGAATAGGAATGGAGCTGGGGTTGTGGCTCAGTGGTAAAGCGCTTGCCTTGCAAATTTGGGGCCCTGGGTTCCATCAGCAGCATCACATAAAAATAAATAAAAACAAAATAAAGACATTGTGTCCATCTATAACTAAAAAAAATAAATAAATTTAAAAAATAGGAATGCAATGAAAAAAAGTACTGGTGGGGCTGGAGTTGTGGGCACTGGATTCGTTCCCTGGCACCACATAAAAATAAGTAAATAAAATAAAGGTGTGTCCATCTTTCAACTAAAAAAAAATATTTTTAAAAAAATGTACTGGCAAGGTGGGCATGGTGGCAACTTCCACTGCCACAGACATGCTTTGACCTGCCTGTAATCCCAGCGACCCAGAAGGCTGAAGCAGGAGGCAAGTTCCAGGCCAGCCTGGGTAACTCAACGAGTCCCTAAGCCACTTAGTGAGACCTTGTCTCAAAATAAAATAAAAAAATAAAATAAAATAGATGCTGTGGTTGTAACTCGGTGGTGGAACGCTTGCCTAGAATGCGCGAGGCACTGGATTCGATCCTCAGCACCACATAAAAACAAGTAAATAAAATAAAGGTATTGTATCCATCCACTATTAAAAATATATAGTTTTTAAATTTTTTTTAAATAAATGAAGCGCACCTGGGTTCAATGCCCAGCACCAAAAAAGTAAAATGAACTGGCGATAGGATGACGACATCACTGAAACCCTTCGTCTCGCGCGCTACTTTCTGAATATCTGATTGAGTTTCTATCAACATTTATAGTAGACCGCTAATAAAGACAGCAAAACACACCCCCTCTCCCAGACCCACGTGGTTTTCACCAAGGCGCCTTTTAGCGGCGAGTTCCGCCGGTCGTGGTGACATCACTTCCGCTTCCTGCCGCACGCGCGGCTATTTCCGCTCCTCCGTCCGTGCGGCTTTCCGACTCTGCCGACTTCGGCTGCTGTTGGAGGGCGGCGAGCCAACCGGACCGCAGCCATGGTGAGTGCGTGAGCCGGGCCGCGGGACCCGGAAGCGGGGTGCGCGGGCTTCGCGGGCTTCGGGTCACTCGCCGTCCTGTGGAGGCTTAGGACGAGCGCGGCCTCAGCCGCCAGTCGCCGGCTGCCCGGCCCAGAGTTGGAGCGCTGGCAGCCGCGGGGGTCCCAACAGTCGGCCCCAGGTCCCAACTAGGGAAACCGCAGGAGCCCGGCCATTGCATTAGTCTTTGTGCGTGGCCGAAGGCCTGCGGTGAGCAGAGGAGAGGGCCTGGCCCTGCCTGGGGGAAGAGATCAGCCCACGTGGGCGATATGGTGGAAAATTGATGATTCTTTCGTTTCTCTTACTTTCTGTTTATTTATCTTTGCGAGGGTAATTCGGATCAGCCTCTCCTGTCCCACCCTGTTCCTGTTGCTGGTATTCAGGAGGGGGAGCTCTCCGTGGGTCTGCACCTAGTGGCGATTCAGCACGTGCCTGGGAGCGTTTGCTGGCCTTGGGGAATGTGGAGTGGTCTGGAGCACAGGAATAGCTCTTCTTTCGAGACCGTGATCTCAGAAATCCAAGGTGGTGCTTAGTAGCACCACATGTGGCAGTTAACATTTGTCTCCAACTTGTAGTCATCTAGCGAGAGTTGCAATTCTTGTGTCATGATGGTGTTACTTTGGGTTGGCTCTTGGTAAGAAGGGAAGACTTTTGCAAAGAACTTGTATTTTATAGTGAGGTTTTAATCCTACCAAGTTTGGACCCCTTTGGAATTACCTTTTGATTTTTGCTCCCACCCTGTGCTATGTAAAGCCAGTATGTGGCAGAGTCTAGAACTTGAAGCTTCTAAATCAATACCCCTCTTAACAACGTTCAGTGAAAAGTTTTGGAAGCTCCTGGTTTCAGGTTGAACTTTGTTGTATTTTCTCTTGGCCATAAAATGAGCATAACAGTGCATGAGTGTAGCGATGGGCAAAAGATGCAACTTATGCAGTCCAGGGGGAGCAATATAGAATGTCCACGTGCTTCTGTCCTTTCCAATGCTTAAGTCACTCAATACAATTTTATTCTATAGGTTCTTAATCAAGAAAAACAACAATTCTTAATGCTAGGCACTGCAATAGACATAATCAACTCCCAGCAAACAACTCTAGATTAATTAATTCACAGCAAACAAGATTAATTAATTCTAAGCATTGCAAACACAGTCATAACAGGCTAATGACAGACATTGCCTCTGCATGCTAAGTTCAAGTGTCAGGTCAAAAGTCTCAAGCCTTAGGCTTTAAGTAAAGCAGGTACACAGTCACTCAGACCTTGGTGATCAGATTAGGAACGAAGGCAGGCTTCTCCTGGGGTGAAGCTGATGGCCAGTTGAGGAGAGGGGCCAGGGAGAAGATGCCACTCCATCAGGGTCAAGATGTGGCTGTAGAGTTTGAGAGCAGTGAGAACAATGCAGAGGTTCAGGCTTGTGGGCATCAGTGTCAGCTGGCTGAATCCCTATTCATTTGCTCTATTATTTATACCAAATTTTGGGCCTTTTGATCCCCCTTTCAATCCTTATCAGCTACCACCGGATTTCTCAGTGACATCATTTACCCTGGGGTTAAAAACATCTGGTCTGGTGGTCCCACTCTGATCTTTTCACTTTTTCCTCTTATATGTGAGGACAGCCTGCCAGAGGCTTCACTCTGAGTTTATCAAGGCAGGGGGAAGTGACTTGTTTGTACCTGAGGACCATACTGGAGGGCTTGCCTGGTGAGACTTGCAGGTTTCAAACTGGGAGTTTTTAAAATGGAGTTGCTTAGGCTCACGCCTAAGGCCATCCTCATAGTGAAGATCTTGAAATCATATGTGGTCCTGCTGCTTAAGCACTTGCCCTAATGGTTGGTATAGAGTTAGTGCAGTCATTCATCATTAAAGGACAGGTAATGACATCGCCCAGGTGTCTGCTCCCTCAAATGTTGAAGTTTGAACATTAAAGAAGCATGCTGAGGCAAGCATATAAAGCAAGTTTTATTTTAAAAGGAGTAACATAGACTTCTCCCCGGAGGGAGAAGGGAGCCATAGCTGGTATCCTGGTATTCCCAGAATCTAGGTGTTCTGCCCTTTTTATGTGTCCTAGGCTTCCTCTGTTTTCCTGCCCTCTTCCCAGTATCTTTCTCCTGCCTGCATATGTGACTAGGCCCAGGAATGCTTGGTGGGATGGCCAAAAGGTGGGAAACAAGTTGGCTAAAGGGGAAAGGGCAGTATGCAGCAGCCCAGGACACATTATCAACCTTATAGTTCCCTGTATAGAGAACAATTCCTGGGACAGGTTACCTTGGCAACATGTTGGAGCTGGGGGAGATTCTTGAGGAAGGGCTCAACATTTTAATCACTCAGGGTACAGTCTCCAACTTGTAGGACTCAAAATTGGCCTCCTTGATCTGACCTGACTAGATTTACTATACTCACTGCCTAATTCTGGCTTCAGTGTATGTTCTGAAAATTGTGTTGTTAGCTGATTTTGTGGTTATGTGAACATCATGATGTGTACACAGATCTAGATGTTAATAGATCAGTCACTTTTGTGGCCTCTTGATGCAAGAGGAGATTCAGTAAACTAGAGATTTACAAAGGATGCTGCTTGCATAACAACAGTAACTAGGCTGGGGATGTGGCTCAGTGGTAGAGTGCTTGTCCGGCATGGCTGAAGCCCTAGGTTCAACTCCCAGCACGGGGTGGGGGTGGGGGTGTAGTGGGCACAGTGGCACACACCTGTACTCCCAGCTGCTTGGGAGCCTGAGGCAGAAGGATCTTGAGTTCAAAGCCAGCCTCAGCAAAAGCAAGGCACTAAACAACTCAGATTCTGTTTCTAAAGAAAATACAAAACAGGGCTAGGGGTGTGATGCAGTAGGAGTGCCTCTGAGTTCAGTCCCCGGTACCAAAAAAAGCAAACAGTACAGTCAATTGTATATCAAATTGATAATCCCAAAGAAAAAATGAATTGAAGTAGCTTTTGAATTAAACCATTTTGTGTGTATTATAGGGTAGAATAAGCAAGGAAGTGTAGTCATTACTAGGAACCACTTGCTGTGGACTGAATTGAGATTTTCAAAGATTATCCCATGAAACTCAAGTGGCTGGTGAACCATAGGAGACCTTTTATAACCCATTTGCTCTAATATTACCAGGCATTAGGCTAAAGAAAAGCAAATAAAAGTATATAAGTTTTAGTATACATTATTGGGCTATATAATTGCTTACCTTCCCTTTTAGCCTTAATAGTATATTTTAGTTTTTCTAAGCTGAGAGTGGGCAGGCTAGTGTTAATATATTAAGTGTGTGTGTAGGCTGGGGTTGTGGCTCAGCAGTAGAGTGTTCACCTACCATGTGCAAGGCCCTGGGTTCGATCATCAGCACCACATATAAATAAAGGTATTGTGTCCAACTAAAAAATAAATATAAAAAAAAAGTGTGGGTGGGGGAATAGGAAGCACACTGACCACCTGTGTCGCTCAATTGATTAGTATTTTCTGACTGGTATTTCCCCCTGCAGACTGAGGCTGATGTAAATCCGAAGGCTTATCCCCTTGCAGATGCCCACCTTACCAAGAAACTGTTGGACCTCGTTCAGCAGTCATGTAACTACAAGCAACTTCGGAAAGGAGCCAATGAGGGTAAGGTACTGCAGGGTGCTGCTGGGGGAATGATGGCGGCACCTGTCTACTGGGGTCTCTGGTCTAGATTTCTGATTTGTAAGGAGGGCCAGAATTTTTCTTTTCTTTTTTCTCCCTTCTGAGACCTAGTCTTGCTATGTTGCCAGCACTGGCCCCAAACTCCTGGGCCTTAGCACTGAGCATTCTCCTTAGCCTCCCAAGTAGCTGGGACTATAGGCATGAACTGCCATGCCCTGGATATTCTTGATTGGGTATAGGAAGGTTTGAGAGCAGCAGCATTTTGACTAGATGAAAAAGGCTAATATGCTTAGAATATTTTTAGACTCATCCTTGTTAATTTGCCACATTCACTTTCTCACTTTTTTTTTTTTTAATGATACTGGGAATTGAGCCCAGGGCTTCATACATGCTGAGCAAGCTTTCTACCACTGTGCTACATATTCATATTCTCTCTCTCTCTCTCTCTCTCTCTCAATAAGGAGAGAGAGAAAGAGAGAGAATTTTTTTTTTTAATATTTAATTTTTAGCTTTCAGCGGACACAACATCTTTGTATGTGGTGCTGGGGATCGAACCTGGGCCGCACGCATGCCAGGCGAGTGCGCTACCGCTTGAGCCACATCCCCAGCCCAACTCTCAATATTTTTATTGTTGGTGGATCTTTATTTATTTATATGCAGTGCTGAGAATTGAACCCAGTGCCTCACACATGCTAGGCAAGTGCTATACCACTGAGCCACAACCCCAGGCCCTCTATCTCTTTTATTTTTCATTTTGAAACTTGCTAAGTAGCCCAGGCTGGCCTCCGCCTACAATCTTTCTGCCTTGGCCTCCCAAGTAGCTGGGGTGACAGGTGTGTACCACCACACCTCACTCCTTCCTCCTCCCTTAATATATAAAGCATCTTATTTGTTTGTCTACTTGTGCAGAACCATTTGTATTAACTTTGTACTCTCTCCAGAGCCATCAAAAGGAAAGGAATATTAATGCTTTTCAGTGTCTGATGGCAAGTAGTTTATTTGGGGAGAGTCCTTTTGTCTCCAAAGATTCTGAGACAACAGGCATTTGGGCCTATGTTTGAGACTCAGGATGACTATGAGCTCACTCACCTATGTTGCTGAACAAAGACAAAGCAAGCCATTCATGTGTCTCTGTTAGACATGGTGCTCTTTTCAGCCCTGCTTTTGGCCTGGTATTGGGGCATGAGTTCTTGCTCCATGTGTAAATGAAGATTCAGAGAGGACCATCTTGACTTCTCCTGCCCTGCCATACCTTGCATGGTGCTAGACCCAGAGGCGCCAGAACGCTGGGTGGGAGGGTCCTTGAATGAGATACTGGGTTCAGAATGTGTTTACTAGGGTTCAGAAAGGGAGGGGCAACAGTTTCCTCGTCTTCTGCCTTGTTTCAACTATTCATTCTTCCTATATCTAATTGCCTGCAGTGTGTCAGGCACATGTCTATATGCTGACAGTGCAATGGTGATCAAAACTAAGTCCCTGCCTTGGAGCTAAAGATAAAGTAGAGTTGGGGGAAAATGTCTCTTCAGATGGAATATTTAGGGGAGGTTTTCCTGAGGTAAAATTTGAGTACAGAACTGAAACATAGGTGGCAGATAGAAGCTTTACATTTTAGCCATGGTGGTGAATTCTCATAATCACAGAAACTCAGGAGGCTGAGGCAGAAGGATTGCAAGTTCAAAACCAACCTCAGTAACTTAGTGAGGCCCTAAGTTAAGAAAATAAAATTTTTAAAAAGCCTAGGGATGTGGCTAGTGGTTAAGCGCCCCTGGGTTCAATTCCCAGTGCAAACACGCACACACACAAACAGTAGAAGTATTCGACTGCTCTGCTTTGTATTGGTGAGGTTTTGTGGGAAATTATTGGGTCTGCATTGCTCAAGCCCCCTATCACCTATTGGCCTGTTTGTCTCCACAGCCACCAAAACTCTCAACAGAGGCATCTCTGAGTTCATTGTGATGGCTGCAGATGCTGAACCTCTGGAGATCATCCTGCACCTCCCACTGCTGTGTGAAGACAAGAATGTGCCCTATGTGTTTGTGCGTTCCAAGCAGGCCCTAGGGCGGGCCTGTGGAGTTTCCAGGCCTGTCATTGCCTGTTCTGTCACCATCAAAGAAGGCTCTCAACTGAAGCAGCAGATCCAGTCCATTCAGCAGTCTATTGAAAGGCTCTTAGTCTAAACCTGTGGCCGGCCTCTGCCCTGTTCTCCCCACCAACCCCACCCCCAGGTTGTGTATCATATTGTCTGTCTTAGCATGTAGTCAGCGGCTTTCTATTATAAAGTATTGTACTAAATCTGTTTTCTGGATTTTTGTATTGTTTCGTTTCACAGGGTTGTTTTTCGCCATCTCCCCTTCTACCCTCAGCCGTTCTTTTACTCTCCCTTTTAAAAAATGAGCAAGTACCCAAAACAGATAGCAGAATCGTGGCACCTAAGGCAGGAAGAGCCAGTAGCAACCTGCCTGAGCCAGGAGAGGCATCTCTTGCAGCTTTCATCCACTCACTCCCACGTGTGCAGGATGGGATGGGAATGGACACTGGCCACTCTGACTTAGAGTCCCTTGTGCCTGGCATACAGACTCTGTACATGTTATCATGATGTCCTTCTCTCACCTACTCTCCCCTCAAGATTATGTGTCATTTGGGGAAGAAGCAGGTGTTCTTTGAAGTTGTTGGGCTTATGTCCTGTGTGCTTTTGGTAATGTGATGTTAAATTCTTGCCCCAGCTACACCCGGAGGGTGTCAGAGCAGCAGCATAGCTGCAGGACTCCAAAGACTAACATGGGTGAACGGGCATGGGGGACAATCGACCTGGATCTCGGAAGAGTCAGGAGTGGCAAGGGAAAAAGTATCATCTGGTGCTGGAATGAGGGATTCTGGGGAAATCATGGAGACCTGGCTGGAAGCTACAGAGAGATGATGGGATCCAGGAAGCATCCTCTTTGAATGGAATTTCTTCGGTGGCCACTTAGCACCAGCTCTGGAGCCCTCACCCATTTCCTGCCACAACATGGTCAGATATTCTTTGTCCCAGGAGAGTGTTCATTCTTGAGCATACTAATAAAAAATATATATATATTCATATTCCATTTTAAAGAAAGTGTGACAGTGCCTGATTATTAGTAGGTATTATCCAGCTAGTATTTGAATGAAGAAATGCTTAGCATTACTAGAGTGGTTATAACTGCTGCTTCCCCTTGCCCCCACCACCACCTTCCTCAGTGCTAGGATTAAATCCTGAGCTTTGGGCATGCTAAACATGCTTTAACCCAGCAAGTTATAGCTTTGACTTTTTGACCAAAAGGCTAAAAGCCATCACTTCCTACAAGATAGTTTCTGGTTTAGCAGTTCAAAATGTCTTCTCAGAGACTCAAGTCATCAGAGTTGCTATCACTGTAGAAAACACTCATCCTTATGACATTTTAGCCTGGTTAATTTGCAAGAGATACTATCCCCAGCCCCTACCTATTTAGGGGGCAGTAGCAACCCACCGCTGCCCCCGACCAAAAAACATTTTCAGACATTATTGTCAGGAATCATTATTGCAGAATTAGGCACATGCAGCATTGGTATTGGTGACTGAAGCTACTGCCACCTCACCTATCTGGTACTTTTTATCTGAGTGTAAATACAAATAATAAAGAAATTTTCTTCCCATATTCAAACAACTGGATACCACAGTGGTCAAATTAATGGACCCATGATAGTTTTCTCTTGGCTGTGTTGGGCCAATTTTCCCACTTTAGCAGGAAGCCCATTGAGGTAAGGGGACTTATTCTGTGCCTACTGGACTAATCATTTTTCTCCTCATTTGCATCATCACCACTCCTGATGGAAGTTTTACGTTCATTTGTGGATGAAGTTTCAGGTAGTATTTACTTTTGTATTTGCTTTTGTTATGTATGTTTAGCATAATCCAAAGAATTTTGGAGAGAGGAGCTCAAGAAATGCACTTAGGGGGCTGGGGATGTGGCTCAAGCGGTAGCGCGCTCGCCTGGCATGCGTGCGGCCCGGGTTCGATCCTCAGCACCACATACCAACAAAGATGTTGTGTCCGCCGAAAACTAAAAAATAAATATTAAAATTCTTCTCTCCTTTCTCTCTCTCTCTGTTTAAAAAAATAAAAAAAGAAAGGCACTTAGGGGCTGAGATATAGTTCCATGGTAGAGCACTTGCTTAAGCATGTGCTTAAGCCCTGGGTTCAATACCCAGCACCAGAAAAGAAAAACCAAACTCCATCTAAATGAAAATTAGGGCCTATTCCTAAGAACGCTAAGGAAGGGGCAGGCAAGGGCTCCTGAGATCCTCAGCCTTTTTGTTCAGTCTATTTGACAGTTTTGGTTCAGTCCCCTCTGCTGCACTGCATGACTTTACAGGGCAGGGTATCAATCTGATTGCCTCCAGAAAAATCCTCCCAGGGTTTCTCCCCTGCTTCTGCAGGCCTCCACTGTGTCTGCCTCTCCCAGAAGTTCCAACTTTGCTCAGTGTTCTATATTTTGTTTACTGAATATTCTGAATCTGTTTGCCACTCTTTTACACTTTTTTTTTTAAAAAAGAGAGTGAGAGAATTTTTTAATATTTATTTTTTAGTTTTCGGGAGGCACAACATCTTTGTATGTGGTGCTGAGGAAAGAACCAGGGCTGCACGCATGCCAGGTGAGCGCGCTACCGCTTGAGCCACATCCCCAGCTCCCACTCTTTTGCACTTGATATCCCTTTACTACACTGGCTCTCTCATTCTAACTTTGTTTCCTTTCTCCCAGCTCTGTAACATTTTTAAAACCTGAACTTTTAAACTTTTAAACTTTAAAACTTGAACTTGGGCTGGGGCTGTAGCTCAGTGGCAGAGAGCTTGCCTAGCACATGTGAGGCACTGGGTTCCGTCCTTAGCACCACATAAAAATAAACAAAGGCATGCTGTTCATCTCCAACTACCAAAAAAAAAAAAATCAATCCAGTGACATTTTCTGATCATTGCCCTTATTAGATATGAACGTGCAAGGTCCTAGCACCTGCAGCACAGAGGTACTAAAGCCTGGACATGTCGGCAGGGAGGAAATCTATCCATTCCTAACCAACCATCTCTGAAGGTTGCAAATTTTTGTGTATAAACATTTTCTCTTTTTTAACATTTTTTAGTTTTCGGTGGACACAACATCTTTATTTTTTTATTTTTATGTAGTGCTGAGGATCGAGCCCAGTGTCCCACACATGCCAGGCAAGGCTGCCGCTTGAGCCACATCCCCAGCCCTGAATAAGCATTTTCTTTTGGAGAGAGAATCCTTGGCTCCCATCAAATCTCTAAGGATCCTCTGACTCAAAACATTGCTGGTTAGAAACTTATAATTGAAAAGCTTCCTGAGGACCTGCAATTAAGTGATATTTTTACATTTACAATAGTGACCTAAAGAGATTTTTCATTTATAGCATTAAGTACTGAAGAATGCATTGTCATTATCTTTGGTCTTAAACATGGATGGGAGAGGGAGAGAGAGAAGTTTGCTCTGAGGACATTGTATACCCTGACCCTCTTCGCAGTGCCAACTGGGTTACATTTTGAAAAACTTCCGGGTGGAAGGTGGGTAGTGGGGAGAAGGGGAGTCAATTGTATACTCTCTTGTGAATGAAGGAAAAACATTTTGAGTAGCAAATAAATACTCCTCTTCTAGGCACTGGGGCAGCCAGCTTCCGATGGCTCCCCGTGGTGGTGGTGTTGGTAGTAGTGGTGGTGGTGGGTGGGATTTATGCTCCTGTATAGTTTCCTACACTAACTCAGAGCTGGTCTGAATAACAGAGTATGACAGAAGTGACATGTGACTTCTAGGCTTCACAAGAGACACTGAAAATGAGCTATATACCTATAGTTCCAGCTATTCAAGTGGCTAAAGGAGGACCACTGCAAATTCAAGACCAGCCTGGACAATTTACACCATGTCTCAAAATGGAAAAGAAAAAGAAAAAAAAAAAAAAGGTATGGGTCTCAGGCAATTCTGCCTCAATCTCTGGAGTTCCAGGGGCTACACTCCTGTGAAAAAAGAATAGAAAACACTGTAGCTTCTGTCTTCTCTTCAGATCACCAGCTCTGAGGGGAATGAGCTTTGTTGTGAAGACTTTAAAGCAGCTGTGGAGAGGTCTGAAATGCTGCAGTCAACATCGAGTGCCAACTTTGCCAGCCATGGGAATCAGCCTCTGTCTCATTTGTACCTGTGGGATTATTTATTCACTGGGTACTGGGGAATTGAACCAGGGATCCTTAACCACTGAGTCACATCTCCAATCCTTTTTATTTTAAGACAGGATCTTGCCAAGTTGCTTAGGACTTCACTAGGTTGCTGAGGCTGGCTTCAAACTTGTGATCCTCCTGTCTCAGCCTCCCTAGTCACTGGGATTACAAGCATGCACCATGGTGCCCAGGTACCCATGGGATTTTAATGAACAGAGGTGACTGAATGATAACACTGAGAAGTCAATGCCATTGAAAGAAGAATTTATTTCAATTCCCAGTACCACAAAAAAAAAAAAAGAATTTATTTATATTAACCAAGAGATCATGATATACCACAGAGCCTCAGAGGAAGCATCAATTTGGTCAGGAGAAGCAGGAATGTGGCCTAGGCTACAGCCTGAATTGGTATTTCCTTGGGGAAGGCAGAGTGAATGGCTTAGGACTGTCTAGTCTGAATAATTCATGTGGGCTTTGGGCAATAGATGTGGTCTCCAGTTACCTGGTTCCTTCCTGGGTCTTGGTGATGCTGCAAACAGGGATCTTTCGACCCAATGACAATGGAAATGAAGGGGCTGTGGCTCAGTGGTAGAGTGCTCGCCTAGCATATGCAAGACCCTGGGTTCGATCCTCAACACCACTTAAAAATAAATAAAATAAAAGTATTGTGACAATGGAAATGAAATTGAGTCAGATTAGCAAACATACAGGGAAAGCTTTTTTTTTTTTTAAAGAGGGAGAAAGAGGAGAGAGAGAATTTTAATATTTTCTTCCCAACAGAGTCTGAGTCTACTTTCCAGCTGCTGCCATCACTTCTGGTGGCTTGGTGTGGCTGCACCTTTGGAGTGTGCCAGGTCTACTGGCAGCTCCTGGAGTCTTCACAGCGCCACCTGGTGGATCAAAGCATGTCTGTGGCAGTGGAAACTAGAAGTAATTGGTGAGCACCCTGTGCATTTACATTTTCTGATTTTCAATGGGATACACAAAAGAAGAAACGGAAGAAATGAAGGCTCAGACGTGCTAGATCAATTGCCCAAGGTCAATTGTATATATGCAATGGAGTCAAGATACAGATTTACTGACTTGTGAGCTTTCAAAAGTCCAATTACATCTGAATGTGGACTTTCCTCCTTCCTGAGGAGCTCAATAGGCAGAGAAGGCATCATCAGAGAAACAGGTTGCAACTACGATCTACCCATCTATCTTACTAATCAATCAACCAATCTATCTATCTATAAAACCTGGAGAGATCTGACTGCTCTCAAAGGGAAATACGGTAACAATGGGCCACTGTCCTCCCTTGCCCGCCTTCGAGAAAGGCAAAGAGAGAACCAATCTGGTACACTCAGGTAGGGGAAAGTTTGAAGAGCAGCCTTAATAGAGAGGGGAGGGAGCTAGATTGGACTAGGAATGAAGAGTAGAATTGAGGGTGTTAGGTGCAGGACAGGCTGGTCTGCAGAGCCTGCAGGTCATGCCAAACAAAGTTAGTTGCAGAATGACCTGGCTTCTCAAACCCTCTGTCTGGTTCTATAACCCCTGTGTGCTTTAAGCCCAAACGCCCAAGCCCCTGCTCAAGGCTGAACACTCAACCACCACCACCCCTTTGGGCCAACAAGGCAGCTTGCAGACCCAGAGATCCCATTAGATTTGGTATAAAAACTCCCTGTGGGGGCTGGGGATGTGGCTCAAGCGGTAGCCCACTCGCCTGGCATGCGTGTGGCCTGGGTTCGATCCTCAGCACCACATACAAAACAAAGATGTTGTGTCCGCCAATAACTAAAAAATAAATATTAAAAAAATTCTCTCCCTCACTCTCTTTAAAAAAAAAAAAAAACTCCCTGTGCCTGTTCCTTCCCTCTATCATAAAGTTCATTCAGACTCAGGTGAGTAAAATTTCTAATCAAGCTTTTAACCAGCTTCTCCTCAGGAATTATCAACTCCTGGTTACTGATAATACCTCTAGTTGAGACCTATGCCAAATGGACTGACGTCATCATTGGATCTGTGGTGGCAAGGAACCTTCATTGATACTGGTCTTCTCTACCCTCCTGTGGGGGCTCCTTACTTCCCCTCCTCTCTTTCTCCCACACTGCTCCATTTCAGCAGGAAGCAGCCAGAATGAATTGACACCCACTCTCATTTAATAACAGAGGGGGGAATGTTGGGAGTCCTCTGTCTTGGTTCCAAAGACTAACTTCCCCATCCCCCAAGAAGAGCCACCAAATGGTGAGCCCTGCTGGCTCACATGATCCTTACCCACCAATCAGACTAGCCCTGCTGGCTCACCTGATCCTACCCACCAATCAGAAAGCACCCCATGCCAACTGTCAAACCACCCCTGGCTCTATAAATATGCAGAGCTATTCCTCAATAAAAGGGCATTTGTTCCAACAACGAGTCTTGTTCGTTCTTTCATTATCTATCTATCTACCTACCTACCTACCTATCTTATTGGTACCAGGGACTGAACCCAGGGCATTTAACCACTGAGCCACATCCCCAATCCCTTTTTTTATATTTCATTTAGATACAGGGTCTCGCTGAGTTGCTTAGGGCTTCGCTACGTTCTGAGGCTGCCTTTGAATTTGAGATCCTCCTGCCTCAGTCTCACAAGCCACTGGGATTGCAGATGTGCACCACTATTTATTACAGACTTTGAGTGGCGGTTTTTCTAACATTATTCACATAGTAGGGCTCTGGTGTTTGTTCTTTGTCCCTTGAATTCTTTGAAGGAGGCTACATTTGAGTAAGGTCACTCAGGAGCACCCAGAAAAGCCAACCAGGATGCATTGGAGGGTTTGTCCTCACTACCTAGGACACCCAGGGCTGAAAACCAAGGGTGCAATGATGGCACTTTCTTACCCTCTCACTTGCAGATGACTGTCTTTGTAGACTTGCCCTCTCCGGAATCCAGAGCTTCCAAGCAAGCTACATTTAACGAGAATGGCCCAATTTCTCAACAATAAGAATCAGCAGGTACTAAGCACTTTCTAATTGGAAAAATCTTTCCTCTCCAATGACTTGCTGACTTGCCAAGGAAAGAAATGCCAAAGAATGTAATATATCTTTTTAAAAGATATTTTTAGTTGTAAATGGACACCATACCTTTATTTATTTGTATGTGGTGCTGAGGATCAAACCCAGTGCTCACATGTGCTAGGCAAGCTGAGCTACAATCCATAACACCTCTTTTCAAACACAAAAACCAAATATAGGTTTAAAAATGTACAAACTTCAGAGCAGATAATCCAAGGCTGTAGATTTTATAGCAGGAAACTAGCCCTCTGACATACTCCTCCTTTCTAGGTCTGTAGCTCCAGCACAGAAGCTACAAACTCTGAATCTCAAGCCCTCTTCAGAGGATACAAACCCTTACATTGCTTTCCCTCCTTGAGTAGCTGGGATTACAGGTATGGCCACCAACTGGGATGGCACCTCAGGCTAATTCTTCAAAAGCAGAGAGCAGAAAAGTTACCAGGAAGATAGAGGGATGGGGAGGAAGAATAGGGAGACATTTCCCTCTTCTTCCTGTTCTCCTAACACTAGACTTCTCAACTTGAACTTCCCATGCTCCTCTGAAAAATAACTCTTAATTTCTCATATACTGGAACTAATTCTGAGGAAAACAGAAAATTTATGTCTTCAAACTTTAATAGCATATTCAGAGGGATGCAATCTGAGGAAGTTGCTATTTACTCATGAAGCAAATGATACCAAAATTTAAAATGTTACTCTCATTGCTTCTGAAATCTGATTTTTAGACCTTAGTATACAGCATGTTTGAAGGAAAACAAGTGGGAGGACAGGGATGGGGAGAGTGAATCTTGCTAAGGCTTGTCATTCCTGAAGCACCTGTATGTTTATATGACCTGGACTGTGACATCCTTCCCCATCCCTTCTGTTTTTGGTTTCTGTTTCCATCACGATGTGTGTTCCCAGTAGGAGAGAAAATTAAGCTCAGAGCTGATGGCCAGTGCTCTCTGGATGCAAGGCAGACATACCTTTCTCCTTCACTCTAAAGAGCAGTACACAGTACAAAGTCAAGGTTCTTTATTCACATAGAGTAAGGCATAAGCCAAGTGAGAGAGCCATGTGGTCTCTGTGCCAACAAGTTTCAAATGTAAAGTCCTCAGCTTCTGCAAGGCAACTCCTCCCAGCTCAGGAAAAACACCTTTAACTTGGTGAAAACAAAAGCAGGCAACTTCACCACGGGGAGGGTGTATGGTCAGCATCAGTCCTTCTGGAAGTGCTCAGTGAGAGCAGCCAGCAGCTCCTGCTTCTTCAGCCCACCCTTCAGCCCATACACCCTGCAGGCCTCCTTCAGCATGGGCACCGTGAGCTTGCCCAGCGTCCCCTTGGCAATGTGGGCCTTCAGCTCCTCTTCAGATACCTCCATTTTGGGCTTTTTACTTCCAGAAACTCCATCATCTGGGGAAAAGGGTCAGGAGAGAAGAACTAAATGTGCTACCAGCGGCATCCCAGCTGCACATAATGGGGCCCCTTAGGATTTAGGCTACAGTGAACCATTTTTCATAAAGCTATGATGCCTACCTACAGTATATGGGGGAAGACAGGTATCTTGACAAGACACCTTTATTTATTGATATAATAAAAAATGTAACTAATACCTAGAAGGGAGTTTCCAGCAGTATGAATATCACGAGTTTACCCAAAACAATTACTCTGGGTGAGCAAATAGTTGCCTCCCATTTTTCCTTCAAAAAGCACTTACAGGGGGCTGGGGTTGTGGCTCAGTGGTAAAGCACTTGCCTTGCATGTGTGAGGCCCTGGGTTCAATCCTCAGTATCACATAAAAATAAATAAATAAAACAAAGGTATTGTGTCCAACTACAACTACAAAATAAATATTAAAAAAAAAAAAAAAAAAAAAGCACTTACAGCAGCTAGGGACATAGCTCAGTGGTAGGGTGCTTTCTCAGCAAGTTCAAGGCTCTGACCCTCCAGCATCACAAAAAAAGAAAAGAAAAAGTGTTTGTAAATGGGGAAGTATTTACAAACACTAAGTTTCAAGGCACCAGGTGATAAGAACATGCAGACAAGTACATCGTCACTAACCCACGGTCAGCATGTGAGGAGCTCTGCCAGTGGGTTCCCAGGGCACTACAGGAGTCACTCCTAATGCAAAAGGGAGAAAGCACCATGGCAACCACCTACCCTCTTGTGGCGCCCTTTCCTCATTTGTCAGGTAAACAATGCCCAAGTCTGGCTTTAGTTGACCAAGAGAGCCCAAAAGATTACAATCTAAGACAACTATTCCAAAATGGTGACTGTGCACCAGGTGCCGGTTCCATAAACGTGAGTCTCATAGTAAGAAAATGTTGGATTCCCAGGTAAGAAAAAGGATAGTCCAATAGAAAAAATGGTAAATGCCAAGAACAGGAAGTACACATTTAAAAAAACAGTCCAGTGAAATTATATTTCGGGCAGGGGTTATAGTTCAGTGGTAGAGCGCTTGCCTAGCACATGTGAGGCACTGGGTTCTATCCTCATATCCTCAGCACCACATAAAAGTAGGTAAATAAAATAAAGGTATTGTGTCCATCTACAACCCTACAACCAAAAAAAAAAAAAGCTACATCTCATATCTGCAGAATTATAAAACAATCAGGACATAATTTTCTCTTTACCAATTTTTTAAATTTTTTTAATTTATATGAGACACAGAATGCATTACAATTCTTATTATGCATTTAGAGCACAATTTTTCACATCTCTGTATCTTTACCAATTTTTGTATAAATATCTTAAAATAGTTATAAAGTCCAGAATTGGTGAGATTATACGAAAACATGATCCCTTCTTGGGTTTGGTATCTATGTATCACTTTTTCAGGAGATAATTTTTTTGGGGGGGCTGGGTATCAGGGATGGAACTCGGGAGCACTCAGCCACTGGGCCACAGCCCCAGCCCTATTTTTTATTTTATTTAGAGACAGGGTTTGAGTTGCTTAGCAATTCACTTTTGCTGAGGCTGGCTTTGAACTCATGATCCTCCTATCTCAGCCTCCTGAGCAGCTTGGATTATAGGTGTGTGTCACCGTGCCCAGCAGGGGACAAATTTCTGCAGTATTAGGGATGGAACCCAGGACCTCACACATTAGGCAAGCACTCTACCACCGAGCTACATCCCCAGCCCCATCTAGAGATAGGGTCTCACTAAGTTGCTGAGGCTGGCCTTGAACTTGCAATCCTCCTGCCCCAGCCTTCCATGTAGCTGGCATTACAAGCATGTGCCATGATGCCCAGCTGGTTTAAAAATTTCTGAAAGTCCATTACCCTCCCTCTGTGATAAGACCATGAAGACAACTTTTCAAAAGAACCCACTGCATGTCCACAGCCAGTTCCTTACCTTGTTTTCGCTTGCTAACTTTATCCTCAGGATTGTAATCTGGTGGGTAGACGAGTTCCTTAAACTCATCTACCAGGGAGCCCAGTCTTTTATTCATTGCTTCAACCTTGGGCACTAGAAAAATGAAAATACAGAAGAGTGGCCAGGTGAGTATTGTATTCCAGTGTCCTGTCCAGTTGTAACTCTAGGAGAAGAGAGGAGAGAGAACCTAACTGCTGGGATGAAGGGTGAGGGGAAGGGCCTGCTTCAAAGCAGCTGACCTGGACATGAAAACACTCAATAAAGTCCTGCCAGCATTTTCCAAGTTCAGTGTCCTGTGGTATCCACTGGAGATGGTTCAGGACCCATGCAGATAACCAAAACCCTCAGATGCTCACATCCCTTATTTAAAATGCTGTAGTAGTTGCATATAACCTACACACATCTTCATGTATACTTTGAAACATCTCCAGATTACTTATAATACCTGATACAATGGAAATGCTACATAAATACATTGTTGTTTTACTGTGTTATTTAAGGGAAAATGACACATCCATGTTCAACACAGAAGCAATTTTTTGCAAATATTTCTGATCCATGGTTGGCTTAATCAATGTATGAGAAACCCAAGGATATGGAAAGATGACTATACTTCTTATTGCCTAAGGCCTTACAGGAAAAGAAGGGCTGCTTAACTCAAGTGTTTCTCTTCTGCCAGATGTGGCTACACAGTCATGACAAACTTGTGCCTGGTATAGAAGATCATGAATAACATGGAAGCTGAGTGGCCCAGCCAGTTGTTCTCATCTTTCTAACCCTGGTACAAATCTTCATTAAAGTCAATCTGCTTCCTGTGGTTATTTACTTGTGCCACTAAACTTCCTGGGTCCTCTTACAGATAGGTAAGAGAATCACAATCAGAAGGGGACTACAGCAAGGTCAGAGAAGCCCCACTTGGAAAGCCAAGGCAAAGCTGGTAATAAGTTGGCTTTTCTCATGGCAGAGCATGCACAGTCTGATGGAGAGGCAATAGCACAGAGGGCAGTGCCCAGGCTCAGGCAGGAGTCACTGGGTTCTGAGCCTGGAAGCACCACTCACAATTAAGTATCTGCACATGGGGCAAAACACTCCCTTCTCTGTAAAATCAGGACAACTAAAGCCCCTACCTCATACTTACAAATATTAAATGGGTCAACACATAGGACAACAGTTCAGGGACATGGTAGGCACTTGATAAATATTATGTTATTGAACTTCCACCAACATGCAGGCATGAGGTGGCCTAGTTCAGAAGCAGGTTTCAGGAGCCTGGCACTCTCTCCTCGTCTCACTGCAGAATCATTCCCGGCATTCTAATCAGGTCTAGAAAAATCTCTCAAGCAGATAGCCTAGATGATGGTGTTCAGTCTCTAGAGAGTTAGGCAATGCATCCACTTTACTAGATCAGAGAGAAATCAAAAAGAAGGCCTCCAGTAAAAACGACTTCTTGAGTCAGTCCAACATTCTTACATGTCAGATCTACTGCCTGTTCAGGCTCCATCAAATCCAAAGCCAAGGCCTCCAGATTCCTGAAGTGCTGCTGCAGCACTGGGTTTTCAAAGCTGTCACTTCTGTTAAAACAATGAGAATAACATTAACAAATCAAAATATAACAAGTTAAACATTTAAAAAATGAAACCAAATAATAAAATTAAAGAAATCCAGCTGAAAAAACATTCCAAGTAAAATATTTGGGAATCCTGTCACAAACCAACTTCTCTCGCTGATTTTATCTAATGCTAGAGATCCAAAAGTTAACTTCAAAGCGAACCTGCTCCCTGTCACTGGACACCATGGCCAGAACCAGAACAAGAAGAGGTAGGGCTGTGTAAATACAGAGGAAAGACAAAGGATGGATGGTGGGGAGAGGGAGATTCAGAATCCTGAGTGTACTTTCTTCTTGTATGCAGTAGCAGTGGAATGGGGGTAAAGAGGCCATGAATCTAGGGCTGGGATTATGGTTCAGTGGTAGAGTGCTTGCCTAGCATGCATGAGGCACTGGGTTCGATCATCAGCACCACACATACACAAAAATATAGCTAAAAAAAAAAAATTTTAAAAAGAGGGTGTGAATCTAGACAGTTGTAAAGCTGAATGGGCTCCATCTCTTTCTAGTTGGGTGAGTCCTAGCAAGATGTTTTGCCCTTGTAAGTCTCAGTTTCTTTATCTTTTTCTTTCCTTTCTCACCTCCTCCAGACAGGGTCTCACTGTCTTCAACTCCTGGGCTCAAACAATCCTCTTGCCTTAGTCTCCTGAGTGCTAGCACTACAGGTATGTACCATCATGCCTGGTGTAACCCTTTTTCTTCATCTATAAAATGAAAACAAATCCAAGCTTTCAAGGTTCATATGAATAACAAAAGAAAGATTACAGCTGTGGCTGGGACTCAGTGGTAGACCATTTGCCAAGTATGCACAAGACCATGGGTTCAATCCCCAGCAATGCATGAAGCAAGAATCTTGAGGACATAGTGCTAAGGGAAGTAACCCAGTGTCACAGAAGGACAAATATTGCCTACTTAAATGAAGTATCTAAAATAGTCAAACTCATAGACACAGAGAGCTGAATGGCATTTGCTAGGGGTAAAGGCAGGGAAAGTTGAGAATTTCTAATTAACATGTATAAGTTTCCATTATGCAAGGAAAATAAGTACTAGAGATCTGTTAGAACAAAAATGCAGATCTGAACAACATTGTGCCTATAGTTAATAATGCCAAATGGAAATCTGTTAAGAAGGTACTCTCATGTTAAGTGTTCTTACCATAATAAAATAAATATTAAAAAAATATAAAGATGTGCCAGGTGCAGTGGTACATGCCGGTAATCCCAATGGCTCAGCAAAAGTGGGGTGTTAAGCAACTCAGTGAGACCCTATGTAAATGAAATATAAAATAGGGCTAGGGATATGGCTCAATGGTTAAGCACCCCTAGGTTCAATCTCCAGTACCCACTGCAAAAAAATAATAAAAAACAAAGATGTGAGGGGCTGGGATTGTGGCTCAGCGGTAGAGCGTTCGACTAGCACATGTGAGGTCCTGGGTTCGATCCTCAGCACCACATAAGAATGAAATAAAGATAATGTGTCTAACTAAACTAAAAAATAATAAATATTAAAAAAACAAAGATGTGAAAAATATTATGTGTGGTGTTACAACATGCAAGCTTTTAAAAGATGGTCTATCATGTGCGTAAAACAAAATTATTCAAATTACATAATTATTCTTTAAAGCCTGTAACAATTTCTCACTGGGTGACAACAAACATAATCAAGGAGAAAACCAACTAAGAATCTTCCCCTACTGCTAGTTTTTGAACTTGTTCAACCAACTAATCTGACTTTCTAAGTCTACAAGCACACTCCCAGTGTCTTCAGTATGATTAGAACTTCCATTCTCCATGCAGCTTTTTACAAGTTCTCAACAAGAAGTCACAATTTACCAGTTAACTAAAAAGGATAAAATCATATTCTCATGGCCTATGCCTAACTTGAACTTACTTTCTTTCTTTCTTTTTTTTTTTTTTTTGGTCTCTTGGTACTAGAGATAGAACCCAGGGACTTGAGAATGCTAGGTAAGTGCTCTACCACTGAGCTATGTGCCCAGCCCCAACGTTTTAAAATTTTTATTTTGAAATGGGGGCTTTCACTAAGTTGCCCAGGCTGGCCTCAAACTTGTGATCTTCCTGACTCAGTCTGGTGAGTGGCTAGATTATAGGCAGGTGCTGCCATGCCTGGCTACCTTGAATTTCTGTTGACTCAACGCAGAAGGTCCTCCCGAAGAAGGTCAAGACTGCTGAGTGCTCACCTGTATTTGAAGCGCAGCTTCTGAACAATGGCTTTCATCTTGTCTATCTGTTCAGGGTTGGCCATGACTTTTTCAGTAAAAGGCACTTTCCGTTTATCATCAGCATAAGGTAGGAAGACAAGCTGAAAGCCTAAAAAAGGAGGTAGGTTTTCTGAAATTTGTTTTGTAGCTGTCTGTCTCAGTTCCAAATTCAACCTCTATGTCCTGCAATACTATGACTAGGGCCCTGCAAATCTCATTTCTCCTTTACCAGCTGACACCTGGTTGCCTAGGATGCTGTGACTCCAGAGGAAGAACAGAAGGCAAGAGAGATATTCCTTGCTATATATTCACTGCTCCTGTCTATATTGCCCCAGCAAGGAAAAACTCTGTACCTGACAGCAGAGGTACCTGGCACAAGTCCCCATCTTTTTTTTCTTGGTGCTAGCAACAGAACCCAAGAATGCTGAACATGCATTCTCCCTCTAGACTACATCCTCAGTCCCTCTCCAGTTTTTCTGATATATCTAGAACCAGCTAGAGTGCCTCCCCACTGAGGGCTAACTTCCAGCTCCTCTGAGCTTCAATGTCTTTCCTTTTTCTCTCTACCCTCCAACACCTGGTTAAAAATAAAAAAGGGAGGGATAAAGATTATTAGGGTGATCTTGGTAGAGTTACTGGCTGGTTCTAGAAGGATTGAAAAATCTAGACACTATAATGAATTGCCCCCAGATGAAGGATCCTTGCTGGCAATGCTGACAGCATTGAGCCCACAAGAAGAAATAAGTCTCTTTCCTTCACTTGCCCTCTGGCCTCCCTCTAGCAGCTACTATTGACACAGCCTGAGAGCTACCTGGGTTTGAACAATCTCAGCCTTAGGAGCACAAACCCTAACAGGGTGAATTTGGAGTCGAGAGGTAATAGCTTAAAACTGACTATTCTGATAACCAGGATTAAAAATATATCTAATGATTACTTTTTAAAGTTAATTTTATCCACATGGCTAGAGAAGGTAGACTACCATGGGCCAACTACTTTGTGCTAGGCACTTCACATCATCATCACCACCACCATTACCACCATCACCACCACCATCACCAGCACCATCACGGTGCAGGGCCTCATGCACGCTGGCCAGTAACTCTACATGGAACTACATCTCTCAGCCCTGGAACTTACATAGTAGTAACTTATCTCAGAGGTAAAACAATATTAAGGGAAAGATGTTCCAGAATTCCCATCTCTAAGATAAAGAATATAAATAGAAAGCTTAAGCTATCTGCCATGTAGCTAGCTAACAAGTGGCAGACATGGATCTGAAATAAAGGAAACAAACTTTCAGACACTCAAGCAAAGGACAAAGTCAAGCCTGACTTCAAACTCCATGTTCTTTCCACCACCACGGTGAATATATAGGAGACAAATCAAACATTAAGCATTACAAGGGGTAACAAACATGGCTTTCAATAAAGAAAAGGTGTCAGCAGTGAGGCCTTGAACTTCTGTCAGTAACCTGCAAATAGTCCAAATGTAGACAATTCTCAACCCTAACTATGGACCAGCCATGAACAGCCAGACATACTGTGCACTGTTCAACCAAACTGTATGTAGTGGCCTCACCTAGTTGCACATCGTTCACCTAAGAAACTTAAAAATACCTGTTTCCCAGGCCTTTTTCCTGGGAACTGTGATTCAGCAGGCCTGAATCAGGACCTCAGGAGGGATTCCAAAAATGGGCAAAGTTCAGGAGCCCTGGAAATCTGTTACGTACCTGGAGGAGTCACTTGAATTTTCTGGTCATCTAGCTCTTCTTCCTGTGGCACCAAAGCCACAAAATAAGGGGGGGTGTTCTTGCGGGGTGTGTATCTGCATACTGCTAAGACTGCCTTCTCCAGACACTTGGTAAGCAGAGCACTAAACAGGGTTGAGCTCCCTAGAAAACAAAGGTCTCATGATTTCTCTTCCATTTTCTTTAAAGATATTTCCATAGGTAAAGGGTGTGGGAGCAAGAGATGAAGGAAATGTGGGGGGCAACAGAGGCACAGAAAGGAAAAGAATCAGGGTTGGAATCCTCAAACACGCTCTTTAGGAGTGTGAATTATTAAGGTCAGTTCACTTTACTGACATTAGGCTAACAACATGAGCTCCAAACACTAAGGAAAACTTAATCGGGTCCAAACTGGGGGTGGGAGGGTTGGGGGGTTCCTACTGAACAAAGGAACAGAGGTCTGGAAAGAACCAGTACACATAATGGCAGAGTTCACATCAAAAAGATGGGTTTTTTTTCCTTTTTTTTGAGGGGGTAGGGTACCAAGGATTGACCTCAGGAGCATTCAACCACTAAGCCACATCCCCAGCCCTATTTTGTATTTTCTTTAGAGACAGGGTCTCCCTGAGTTGCTTAGCGTCTTCCTTTTGATCCTCCTGCCTCAGCCTCCCAAGTTGCTGGGATTACAGGAGTGAGTCACTGTGCCTAGCCACATCATCTTTAATGGCCACTAACAGAGAAAAGGCTGTGGGAGCTTTTGAGTTTTTTTGCTCTCTTGTCTGATGCCTCAAATAATTCCACAGGAAAATGTTTTTAAAATCTTCAATTTCACAGCCCCTCCTGGATTTTCACAATACATGTCAATATACTAAGGGTCCTGAAAAAAAATCTCTTTAACTTTGTTTAGTCCCAGATATCCAAAATTTGAACAAAAAACACTTCCAAAATATCCCATTAACATCTCCTAATCAGTATCCAAGCAGTACCCATTCAGGAAATGCGGCTCAATAAACTTGTCCTGTGTCAAGAGTCCTTCATTTATTCTTGGCCTATGCTACTTACCGTTTACCAGGGACTCCTCAGGGTAAACGAACAGGGAGGGCCGCAGGTAATGGTGCTTCTTCAGCATTAGCAAGGGCTTAAAGCCAAGGAGAATCAAACCTGGCTCATCAAACCGCTTCAGCTCTTCCGTTTCCTCTTTCTCTAGTACAATCTGACGACTCCCATAGGTCTACAGGAAAGAAGCATAGAGGCTACATGAAAATGCAAACTGGTGCACAGGATACTAACAAGTTAAAGTCAGCTCTCTTTAAGCAAGAAGATGGCTTACCAGTGCATCTCTTCTTACAACAGGGAATTAGTATTTACTGAGTGACTGCCAGGTACTTTGGTTTGTCATCTAATTTATGTTCTGTAACAATCCCAGGAAGTAAATGTTAAAAACTAAGCAAGGGCCAGACACAATGGCACACATCTGTAATCCCAGTGGCTTGGGAGGCTAAGGGAAGGAGGATCATGATTGCAAAGCCAGCCCCAGCAAATGTGAGGCACTAAGCAACTCAGTGAGACCCTATCTCTAAATAAAATACAAAATATGGCTGGGGATGTGACTCGATGGTTGAGTGCCCCTGAATTCAATCCCCAATACCCCCCCAAAAAATTAAAATTAAAACAACTGAACAAGGGCTATGGATTTAGCTAAGTGGTATAGCACTTGCCTAGCATTTAAGAAACCTTAGTTCCACCCAGCACTGCAAATTGTTCAACCAATGAGTAAACTAAAGCCCAATGGTTGGGTAACATTCCAGGTTATACAACTGCATTGGGCTTTAAACCCAGATCTTTCCAATGCCAAAGGCCATATTCTTCAGGTATTTATTCCTTCCCTTACTTAACATGTATTGAGCTCCCAGCCCCATCCCTAACATATAAAGGTACCAGGTTAGGTCTCAATGTGGAAGGCAGACACATGAGTGCACGCGCACACACACACACATTTAGTGTGATTAAAAAAAAAAAAGGATGACTCATTCAATTTTAATTTTCAATGTCAAATCCTTCTATAGATTGAATATGGGTGAGAAGATGAGAAAGGACAATGTTTTGTACTATAGTTCAGGTTCAGAAAGGCAGATGTGTGTCATTTCAAAGTAAGGGAAATGTTATAATAGTCTAGCAAAAAGAAATTCTCTTTAAAAAAGTCCACCTCAAATGTAACATGTCACTAATTTCTCGTCTCCCTAGTTAACTAGGAAACACTTTCTGCCATTGTACTTTATCAGGGAATTAGACTGTTAGTGCAGCATGTGCTGAGTGGTCAAGAGCCGAAGCTTCCACTGCCACTTCTTACCAATACTGGGGCTGCTTAACTCCCTAGCTCTCAGGATCTCACTGATTCATATGCCATAGTTCCAAAGTGTAATATCTCTTGTCTTTTTCTTTTCTTTTTTACAGTGTTAGGGATTGAA